TGGGTGGAGTGGGTTTTTTTGGGGGGGAAATTCTTTTGTTCCTTGAATATAACTTTTATTTCTTGAGGGTTTTTTTTGGCAACCCATTTCTAGCTAGTTTTAATCTCGCATCTAAATAAAATTCTATTTTAAAATCAAACTGAGACTTTAGAAATATTGAACTTGCTTTAAAAGTTTTTGAATTTTCAGAAACCTAAAAATCACATTCACCGCTAAATAATTACTGTTTAGCCATCATTCCTTTACGTAATTAGGTATTTTCATAAGCGTTTACAACAAGGAAGTGATTGGTATAGGCTAACTCTATCTCTCTTTGTTCATTCACTTTTTTCCTCGACCCTTCCCTTTCTTCTCTATAGCTATGATTTGATTTGACGTCACAAGACTTTAAAGAGAAATGATAAGGCAATAAAAAGATAAGTCAATTTTAGGGCTTCCCTGGTGGCGCAGTGGTTGAGAGTCCGCCTGCCGATGCAGGGGACACGGATTCGTGCCTCGGTCCGGGAGGATCCTACCTGCCGCGGAGTGGCTAGGCCCGTGAGCCATGGCCGCCGAGCCTGCGCGTTCGGAGCCTGTGCTCTGCAATGGGAGGGGCCACAACAGTGAGAGGCCCGTGTACCGCAAAAAAAAAAAAAAGTCAATTCTAAGAGCTTTCTCTTTCCCTCTTTACATCCATAATATTAGTATGAAATTACCATACAATTTGATATTCAAAGCATGTGTATTTTTCTTTATATCCTTTATTCAGTAATTCCTTGTCTGAAAGGTAAATATTATATTTTACTTTTCAAAGTTATGGCATTTTTCTGGGGACACTAATTTGAAATTATATTTTCCTTAATCTGTGAGATCATCAAATAATGGGAGATTTCTGAAAGTAATCACTACATAAATTGTGGGTTAGGTTTGTTGGCACTAAAGCACTAAAATGCTATAGAAAAAAGTAACTCTTAATTGCAATTCTGGAAGAACAATTATTCTGAGTTATGTGATTCTTATGTACTCACATTAGACTATAATCAAAAGAAAGCTGGTGTACAGAAAGTGAAGAATGCAATAAAAGTTAAGATCAGATTCTATATTCCAAATATTACATATTGATTCAGCCAGTTTCCTCCCAGTTTCCTAACCTTGATCATTGATTTCAAAGATGTTTTATACATGCATTCAGACCACCTTTCCCCAACTGTACTCTTTCTATTAATATTAAAACAATAAATCATTAAACATGAATTGTTTCTAAACAAATATCTTCAGAGAGTGTAATCTAGATAGCAGTAGTTGTCATGCATTTCTCTGAGACCTTTAAAATAGACCGGGGTTTTGGAAGCTACTTTTAGTTTATGCCACTTTCCTCAAACAGGCTTTCTCACAATTAATATTTGATTATAATGGGAAGTATCTCACTGTGCCCAGGGCCAATTAGCATTGCCAAAGGCCCAGACTGCTGGTGACTTTCTGTATAGCAGGAGCTTTCCTGTAAGACTTGATCTCATTATGTTCATCCTTACTAGAGAATGCATCCCAGACAGATCCTGTACATCCAGCTACTCAATTCTTCTTGGAGTATACAGTCAGAGTGGCAAGAGTTTCTATCCTCATTAGACTCATTTTCCTGGGGGAATTCACTGATTTCTGGGCATAGCTGAACATCTTGATTTCCAGAAGCAAATTCCACTCTAAGGACCACACCTGGAGATATACTAATTGTTTCTTTACTTATTGGAAAGTCCTGAATTTTTTCAGTGCTTCATTAATAGAGTTAGTCACTTCAAAGTGTTATTAAAACCAAAATATTGTGATTCTTTTCATCAGTGAAGTTCCAGAATTTGGGGACGACTTTTGAGATAATTTACCGGGTGGCAGAATACTTACAGGTCTCTGGAATGCTTATGATGATGATTGTGATAAGAAAGTTTTTTGATGATCTTCATTTTTTAAAGAAAATATGAAGATACTAGATTACCCAGTCAATATTTACCTGAATAGATGTCAGTATAAACGTTATGCATATTTATCTTGATCTCTTTATTCAATCATTAGCCACCAACTCTGAGGTCAAGAGGGTTATTCATTACTCAGAGGTATAATCCCAGTATCTAGCACAACATCCAGCTCAATAATAGTAGAAACTCAACAAATATTGGAGATATAAATGAATGATGAATATGTTGTTTGTGAAGCAATAACTTGTTCCAATTATGGGGTCATGTTAATATGAAAAAATAAGCCCAATAATTTCTGTAGAAGAAGAAAAGAGGACAGGAGTGGTGGGAAACAGGAATTGTCTATCCTTTCTTATTTTATATTACTTCACTTGCAAAATAATACCACTTGCCCATCTTCTTTCCTCATCATGTTTTTGTTTTCTCTTTGTGTGCCTTTGGTCCACTTAGTTTTACTATTCTCAAACTTTGATTGACCTTATATTCTTATACTGAACTAAAGAAACATTTCACTTCATCATATGCTGGCTTCGATTCTTTTCAAATACAGTGTAATGCACATATCCATGATGAATTCACTCTCTGGAATAAGACAGTCCATGTTTACTGTATCTAATAGGCTTCTGATAGAAGTATCCTGAATCTGTTGTTTGGCTTCTCACTTTTACAGGTTCTTAAAGGTTGACTAGGCCAAATGGGCTTGGTACTTCCTACCTTCTCATTAAGAGTTATAATTGAAGTCAAAAAGAATCTTCTTAATATCTAATGATGAAAAGGGTGAACTGGATATGGAGAATGTAGCATTAGAATCTAAGGAATGTCTGATCCTGAAACTACTGAAGTCTTATTTCTTTAAGTATAATTGTAAATTCCAATGTCCGTATCTAGTTAACACAAATTTCAAGCAAAGGTAGTTGCACTACAAAGAATGTGACATTGTTAACTTTCAAACATGGCAAAGTACATTAAAAATTGATAAAGGCAGGGTCTTAGCTCACACTGGCATGAAGTAAGACCATACTATATAGCACAGTGGTGACGCAGGGTGGTTACACGTGTCATTAAAACAAAGTTTTGTTTTGTTTGTTTTTACTCCTTAAGAGAAATGATTACAAACTGGTCAGAATGTTTTTGTAGGAAAGCAACACCCTCAGGTATGTCATTTTCTGTTACAAAACAATTAAATAGAAATCTTCTGCCAGCTTTTTAAACTCAGTACCCTAATAGATGGATTCAGTTCAAACCTGCCTGAAGTAGATAGCCACCGAATAGCATCCACTGAGATACTGAAATGGTAATACTTTCAATTGCTCCCACTTTTATTCTTCTATTAAACAACTTGAGCCCTACTTTAGTGGCATTTACTGCAATGGTTAAAATAGACAGACATAGTTTAAAAACTGACTTCTGAAAAGTTGTGCTCCTGCACAGTATTTTTTTCCTATGACTGGTTTCTTTGAGTTCTTACAGATGGTTGAGGACAGTTCTCTACCACAGTGTTTTCGCAAGCGCTCATTGACTTCTGACAGTCTGTGGGAATTAAAATAGAAAAAGGGCATTTTATATTCCATAAGAATGCATCTACTGTATCATTTTATAGGAGGCGAGTTTTACAGCACAAGGATGCAGTTTCCCCCGTTAGTCATCTCTGTGTGTCTTCATTTTCCAGATTGTACCCAATCTGTAGTTCTTACTAGGACAAAACATCCCTTTAAATTAATAGGAAACAAAGCTCTAATAAAGAATGCTGAATCAGGCCCATTACCACCATACAAATTATGCAGTGAACACACAGCACTGTTTACAGTGGACCTTTCTGAGAAATAACCATAATATTAAACTCAGAGTATATTCCAGGGGTAGGCAAGTCTCCATAAAAATTTTATTTATCTTGAAAGGCGAATGCTTATTCATGGCATAACATTGAAAGACATGGTTTCTCCTCCTTAGCCCTCCCTAAACATCGTTAGATAGTTAGATGACCAATAATTCTTAACTGTGTCAGTAGAGTCAGTAAAAGGATTGGTTCTGCAGAGATATAAGAATCCCCAGTACTATATGTAGACTGGCTGGAAGGAAACTATATGGAGGATGGTGTCCGGAGAGGTGTGAGCTGGGGAGAAGAGCCTGAGATTTATTATTGAAATGATCTGAATGAGAAAAGAAAATCTGGGTCTCCCTAGATATTCGTAATTCTTCGTACTTGCAACGCATCCGATACCTTGAAGTAGTTACCTGTATGCCTGCTGATTTCAGTTTTGTGTTTGTATCTGTTTGTGTGCGCGTTTGCCTGAATGGAGTTTTCCCGGCAGCAGCGAGTGCTGGGTGTACGTGTGCACTGAGTATGAATTAATTACATATTGAAAACATCTGCATTAGCGGCGTCTGCAGTCCTTGCCGCTCCAGTCGGGATGTTCAGCTCCGTCACTTGGTGTTAGGACCACTCGGAAGACCTGCCAGTCGGACGCCTGATTCTAGTTCCCGGGGGGCCGGAGCTCCCGGGGCCTGTACCATCTCTATCTGAAGGGGAGGAGAGACAGGAGAAGAAGGCATCCGAGCGAAGGGGTTCTGTTTCCTGCAGCTGGGTGGGGGGCAGTCAGGGTTGGAGCCGGGTTCCAAGATCACACTGCGAATTCCCAACTTCAGCACCGCCTCCCGCCCGGGGAGAGGCGCGCGCCTCCCTCCTCGGCCCGCGCCCCAGCTGAGGGACCCGGGCCCCTGGGTTCCTCCTCTCTCCCGTTTCCCAGCGAGGCGAGGGCAGGGCGGAAGGTTTGTGACAGCCAGAGGGGTAAGGTAAGGAGAAGCAGGCGGCGGCGAAGGAGGAGCCAGGGAGGGGCCTGGAGAGGGGGGAGAGGAGGGAGGGTTTTCCCCCCGCCTCGTCCGCCGCCCGGCTTCGCAGGCGCTGCTGGCGGCGGCGTTTCCAGCCCTCCGGCCGCAGCCGCCGCTGCTCGCGCTGCACCGCCTGGGAGATGCTGCCCCGCGCCGCGCCGCGCTGAGGCCGTGCGTGCGCCCGCCCCTCCGCCGGCCCGGCTGCGTGCTCCGCTCCGCGCAAACACAGTCGCTCCATGTGAGCTGGTGGGCGACTGGAAACCCCTCCGAGTCACGCTGCCCAGCGGCCGGGGGAGCGCTCGCCCGCAGTGGCGACCTCAGCACCGCCGTCTCCGGCGTGCTCCGTGCTCCTTCTGCGTCCTCCGCTCTTCTGGTTTTCCGCCTCGTCCCCTGGTGATTTTTTTTCTTTTTTTTTTTCCCGAGAGGGAGAGGGCGGGGTAGGTGTCCCCTCCTCTGCTCCCCCCTCCCTTTCCTTCTCGGTTTGAATTCTTCCCCCTGGCGTTGGTTCGCAGGAGCAAGAGGCAAGACCCGCGCGGAGGGAAGACGAAGGCTGCGACCGCCCTGCAGCTCCCAGCCCCGCCGGACTGGAGCCCGGAGCGGGTGAGGGGAGAAAAGAGGAAGTAGGAGGGGCTTGGCTTTCGGTCGTGCCTGAGGACGGCCCATCTCCCTTCGAGAACCCCTCGGAGAGACTGACGGCATCTCTCTGCAGCGAGCCTTTGGAGTACCGCGAGCCAGGAGGCGAAGGATGCCGGTGGCTCGGGGAGCCGGCTGCGGGGCAGCGCTTTCCTTCTGGCTGGTCGGCAGCATCCTCTGCAGAGCCTGGACGGCTCCCGCCACGTCCCGTAAGTAGCCCTCCCGCGAGCTCGCTCTGCGCTGGAGCAGTTTCAGTGCCGCATTGATGTTCCACCCCAGGGTACCAACTCGGAGGTGCCTTCTGAGGTGTCGCAGCCTGATGTGTGTGTGTGGCTTCTCTGTCACGCACTTGCGGCCACTGCAGCAGGGGACACTCCAAACCCCGCGCTCCGGGTTGCGGGGAGAGGGTTTTTGAAGCTGGTGATGTTTCTAGAAAGTTGTTTCTGGTCGTGGAGATTGGTTGGCAACTGCTTGGTTAGAGTCATTAGTGTCGGGGACAGCGTCTTAGGACTTATTCTTCCACTTTGGTGTGTTTGTGTAGAGGAAGTTCATTGCCTTTTGCTTAGGTAGGTCAGTGAATGAAAAGTGAAAACATGGCAAAAATAAGTTTCTTAGTTTTATTTATGGTTTTAACTTAAATAAGCATGGCTATGGGAGTGAAAAAGGAGCGTCTTTTGGGCTCCTATGGACTTCTATTCGCCCCCCCTCACCGCAGCCCCAAGTTAATGACCGTTTAGTATTTGCTTATTAAAATGGAAGACAGTGAATCCAATATTGTAGCTGAAATTGCTTTAATTCTCTGGCAGCTAAGTGCAATGCAGTCTAGGACTTGGGGCAGTCGGTGCAAAATAGCATTAATGCAGTAATGAACAGATTTCTTAAAAGAGTTCTCAGAAAAAATGATGCTGTGAAATATGTTTCTCTCTGTGTGTTTTGGCTAGTTTTTCTAGAAAAGATTGTTCATTTGTTCACAAGGTTAGAAAGAGTAGAAAGAAATGGAAGATTCCAGCCCGTCGTCTGCATTGCTTTAGAAGTGCGTATTGTGCATCTAGAGAGGAAATGCATGAGCGCTCCTTTGGTTCAGAAAGAGTTAAATACTAGAAAGATAGCCTGTAGGAATCTTAGGGTAATATTCATAAGACATACTTGTTTCTGAGAATGGACGACTTGTTAAAGAATCATCATGGAGATTTTAGAGTTTCAAAATAAGCGTTTTCCATGCAGGAAAAAAAGTTTCGTGTTTTCCAGTATTCATATATGAAGTAGTACTATTTCTGTCTATCATATCCTGGGATTCATTAATGCATCTTTGTCCATATGTTAATATGAATGCTCTTATCCCAGTGTGTAAATATTGATAAGAATAAACGTTGAAAAAGGACTTCATAAGTTGTGCTAAAGGATCTACTAAATAATATTATCATATGATGAACCAGTATTACTGTTTGACGTATTCTCTGAAGTAGAGTACTTGGTTCTCTTTCCTTGCATTTAAAGATAGAGAAGTCACTAACTGGTAATCTGAGTTTGTAATGAACTTGAAACGAACTTTTATAGTTTTTTCCGAAGTAGATTAAACCTCAAAAACATGATGTGTTATTAATATTTAATGTCAGTTTTATAGATTTAAATATAAATTGTGCAGCTATTAATGCTCGGTATTCATATTTACATAAACATGTTACTAGATTCTGAGAAAACTATTCTGATGAAATTTCAGTTTCCATGTCAAGGTCTGGTTATATAGAACTAATTGACACTTTTCTCAGAAAATAAGCTCATTATACATTCAATTTACTGTGTTCACGGATTGAAGGCCCTCACAGCCAGAGTTTTTCCTGATCTTTCTGTAGACTTTAATTATAATGAATCAATCTGAAAAATTCACCGTGTGTCAAGAATGGCTTACCTTCAGTCATTGGGTTAGTATATTTTAAGAATGGAAAGGTTGTTATCTCTGAAATATATTCTTAGTTCTTACAACTTAGAATTTGGCCACAGGGGAAGAGGGAAGAGCAGAGACCATTACTTTTAAGATAGTTAATGGTTATGTTCAATTATTCAGATTATTTATTTAGCTCCTATTCCTCATTGTTGAAAACGTGTAATGGCTTAATTAATATGACTTTTTGTTTCATTTGAATCTAAATTGTGACCAAAACTCAAAGTTGCCCCCATCCTAGAGATGAATTAAATAAATAAGAATGATATTGATTTTACTGATTAGAATGAGCTTCACGTACTCAGTACTTTAAATTTATACTTCTACCCTTAATGAAAAATTGAATTTATAGTATATGCAGCTCTGAAGAAGTTTGATAGCTAAATTCTTAATATTAAAAGCATCCAAAGGAGAGAAAAAATGGTAACTACACGAAAGTAAGATAATGAACAACTCAACCAGGAGAGGTCATCACAAGATAAAAAGTAGCCTAAAAGTCTAAAAGTAATGTTTTTATTTGGTACCCATTTTTAAAATATGATGACTATGCTAAGACTTTCAGTCCCCAAATAACTTTTTAATATGATGGGCATTTTTTGAAGAGGCAGGTAATATTTTTAAATTTGATAACAATACCATTTCAGATATACATTGGTTTCTGGCTTATTTCTTCTCCTCTGTTATTGAACTATATATGCCTATGCTGTTCCTGTTAATACTATCTATTTTGTAACTAAACTAAAATAAACTTTAAAGAAGCTTATCTCTAGGATGAAGTAGAAGTGGAATTTAATTTCTTGCCAGATAGTGGAAATGAGCTGCTGCTGAGCCCATGGAATCGTAGAGCTTCCCTTCTTGTAAATGTATATGTACAGGGCACATATGTAAAGTTTAAGTGGAATATTTTACTCTTAGGGAGTTGCATTTATTTGAACATATTTGAAAGACCCTGACAGTACAGTTCTAAATGATGAGCTTGAGCTAACATTTAGTGAATTTAATTTGTTCTCAAAGTTTACTAAATTTTGGCTTAAACAGTGCTTTCTGATAAAAGTCACTTTACATTATTTTATATAGCCATTAAACTATAATTTCACTGACTCACATTTGAGAAGTGTGCTCCAATACTTTGTGACAAATATGTTTTTACATATATGAGTACAAATGTGTATAAATATATACATATACATACATATGGTAAAATTCTTTAAATATATATTATGTAATATATAGAGATATAATATTATTTAATATAGATATATATTTATTATATGTAAAATATGTGTATATTTATATATTTGCTAACAAGTCTTTCAAGGGGTTTAAGTTGCTTACAAGTTTATAGATAGGTCTTTTTGTGCAAGTATTCCAAGTAAATAAACCAACAATATCAAAACAATAGTATATTTTTCTATTTTCTCTCTTTTATTCATATACCACCCTTAAAATGGTATCTTTCAAATAGTTGAATTAAATATAAAATATATAAGTAAATATAAAAGCAAATACTATTAGTTTATACTGAGCTTGTACATAGTAATGAGTTTGTTTTAATAAAATGAATTTAACTTAAAAAGTGCTTTAGGCTAGCAAAATTTATTGATTGATAAGAGGCAGTATATTATTTACCTAATGCAAACTAATGAAAAGTATTATTTACTCACTAGAGAGAAATATATAATCCCGATTTCATTGTAGGCACTGATATTCAGGAAACAGGGATCTTTGTCTAAGTTTTCTCCTGTAACATCAATACATGGAAAAAGTAGGTAAAAAAATGAATCCACAAGTTCAAAATAGTTTTTATTAACTTTTATACAGGTATAAACACATAGCGTATCATCTTTAGATAAATAACATCAAAGTTATTTGATGTGCATCATATATATTTAAAAATCACACTTCTAATATTTTTTTTCTATTCTAATTGGCAGGACATTTCAAGGTCTGTAACTTCTTTGAGATTTTAAATCACTTCCCTTAATTATAAATTCTTCCAGAGAAAATCTTAATAAGTATTTAAAAGTGAACTAGTAAGTCTTCTTGTTTGATGTATCCTTTTCATGATTGAAACATAAAAAGAATTTGATGTACCTCCCCTTGGCTTGCTTCTCTTTTTTAAAGTAGATTTTATTTCTTGTAAATGTTGTACAGAATAGGGCGAGATTCTTACTTCAAATCCAGTGGGTGATTTCCTTAAAAATATTAAACATATAGAGAACCAACTTCTGCATGTTGTCTCTCTGTAGTGATTGATATTGATGGGATAAAGAAATAAATGTGTAATTTCAAAGTTTTCCCATATCTGATTGATTTGAGAAGTGCTTCATTTTATCATTCATCACTGTGTACTAAGTTAAACAACAGAGCACATAATAATTTAAGCCTCACAAATACAGTGTTATGGAAATAAAGTGAGTACTATATTTATATCTATATCTGAAACTGAATGTTCTCAGTTTTCTAGAGAAATACATATTTTAAGATAAGTAGCTTGTAGAAAAATAAATTATATTTCTATATTCATCCCATATTTGGCTGCTGGAAGAAATTATGTGTTTATTTTTGCCATTTTACTATGTAAGAATAATGACGAAATGATCTTTAGGTAGGCTTTAACTTTTCAAATGAGAAACTTAAAAGAGACTACTTCTTAACAGGGTGCTCAGTTAAAACATTGCTTCCCATCTCCTGGGATCTAGAGAACCTGTCTGTTGTAGTTCTGACCAACTAAAGATGTTGGGATTTTGAGGCGCAACCTCCTTCTCCGTCTTAATGTTTTCTGTTATGTGGAGAAAACTGCACTTGTAACATTCTTAGCTTCTATCTCTACTGTTCCAGTGAATGGTATTCGGTTCGAATTCCACCCCAGGTTAGGTAGAGTGATTTACCTGTTAGGTGACTTTGGGAGAAGGACCTAGTTGAGCTGAGCCCTTCCTCCTTCTTCCCTCCAGGCTGCCTGCAGAAGGTATAGATTCTACTAAAAGACATACAAGAGTAGGCTATGCTTCTGCAATAACTTCTGTGATAATATGAGGAGCCTTATCATGTTCAACTCTTCCTATGGCTAGAAGGTCTGTTTAATTTCAGAATTAAGGTTGATGCATCCCATGGTTGCCACGCATTGAAGTACTTTTCCTCCGTATTAGCAATTACTATGTAAAGGGTGATATTTGCTCTCCATCTGTGGCTTCTTTTCTAATTGAGAACTCAGGGAGAGAAAAGAGGGCTGTTTATTTTCCCCTATCAAACCCCCAAATATTAAAA